GTTGAGGGCATGGATATGTTTGATTGCTCAGTAAATGTTATTTTTTTAGATTGTATGTATTTGTCAGTATATTCCTACATGTACAACAACATAAGACAGCTAATTTTTGTGACCCTATCATTATTGTGGTCATCATCGTCATTGATATATTTATATCTGTCAGTGTGTAGACACTGACTGTATTTCCAAATAACAATTATAGCTGATTAATAAATCAAAATTTTGAGAATAACAATTGCAAAATATGTATTTTTTAAATAGATATAGAAAACAGTAATGTTGTTGAGTTGAAAATAAAAAAATGTTGCCACATTATAATAATTTGAAATCATTGCAATGGATTTAAGTTCTAGATATACACAGTTTCTCTGGGATAGCTTTAAGTCTGAGGATAATCCACTCCACACCCCTCCCCCTCCCCACTTAAAAAAATGCTTTTGATAAATAATGACTTGTGTTGTGGTTACAATGTATTTGTCATGTTTTGATATTCCTTGCTTTTCATCAGCAGAAAGAAGGTCTATACATTTTTATCTGCATTAGCTGAAAGAAGGTCTATACATTTTTATCTGCATTAGCTGAAAGAAGATCTATAAAGTTTTTATAATGCATAATAGTATTGATTTTGTTATAAATGTTACAGAGAATTTATACTTAAGAAATGTGTATATGCTGGATCATATCACATTTTTTGGGGTTTGCCTTAAATTGTTATTGTAATTTTGTATTTTCCTTTTGTACTTTTGTTATTGTATTTATGTTATGTATGTAGCTGGTTCTACAATAAAGTTATATTTATACAAAAACTATTACTTTTTATACGACCGTCGTATATTGGTATGACGTTGTCGTCGTCGTCCGAAGACACATTGGTTTTCGCACAATAACTTTAGTTTAAGTGAATGGATCTCTATGAAATTTAAACATAAGGTTTATAACCACAAAAGGAAGGTTGGGATTGATTTTGGGGGTTATTTTCCCAACACTTTAGGAATTAGGGGCCAAAAAGGGGCCCAAATAAGTATTTTTCTAGTTTCATGACAATAACTTGTGGAACAGTGTATGGATCTCATTGAAATTATACCACCAGTTTCAGTTTCCATACCACAAAGGGATGGTTAGGATTGGCTTTGGGGGGGTTATGGCTCAAACCGTTTAGGAATTAGGGGCAAAAAAGTGAGAAAAAACAAGGGAGTCATGGTTAATGGACAATTACTTTTAAAAGTACAAATTACAGTGTAAGGGAGGTAATTCAAAAACTACTTTGAATTACCTTCCTGACACTGCTTTTAAATTATGTTTAAAGGACAATATTTTCTCCTCAAGATTTCAGAAATCAAAAAGAAAATCCTTCAAATTTTTTTTTTTTGAAAAAAAGGAGGAGGGGAGGTCAATTCGCAACAGCATAGTGTATTGCACAAAAGCAAAAAATTGAATATAAATTTAAATCATATAACCAATTCTAAGTTCTTTGACTACAGTTATTCTGTGTCAGAAACCTATTATGTGTCAAATATTGAATACAATCCAAATTCAGACCTGTATCAAGCGCAAATATTGTGTCCATTTTTGCCCCAACTGTTCAGGGTTGGACCTCTGCGGTCGTATCCAGCTGCGATCGGCAAAGCAATTTATTAATACTTTTTTTTATAATTGCAACAAGTTGTCAGGCAGTCAAGTGTATACAGCTATTTAGGCTAAACTTAGGCACAATAAATAAAGCCCAAACATCAGCCAGCCTGTAAACTTTGTCTGAACTTGGCTTTAGAATTTATGGGATATTATACCCACCAAAAGGCCTCCAAACCTTTTGGCACCCAGAATAAGAATAAGAAGATGTGGTATGATTGCCAATGAGAAAATGTTCAGTTCAACAGACATGCCATGGCCTTAATAAATTAATTATATTTAAATACATGGAAAAAAGCACAAATATTTAAAAAAAAAAAGGAAATGTGGAATGATTACCAATGAGACGACTCTCCATTTGAGACCAAATGATGTAGAAGATAGCAACTATAGGTCACTGCACTATGGCCTTCAACAATGAGCTAAACCCATACTTAAAAGCAATCATACCACATCTTATTTTTGTACAATAAATCCAAACCAGAAAAAAACTCTTAGTTCAACTTTACAAAACAATTGCTAGACAGTAATATATTATACTGAATCAACTAAAGCTCAAAGCACTTTACCTATTAGTAATGAAGTATTCTTCTACAGAAATAGTTAAACTCTTGAACCCTACAGGCAGTGAGTGTAAATAGGGAATATTGATCAAATGATCTTGTATGTAATCCTAGGATTAAGATCACAGGTTATGTAAACTCTTATTCTTTCATGGACTCTAACAAAACCTTATGAAATATTGAATCCAAGGTACACAACATGTAGCACCATTCCAGTAGAAATTGAGAATTAATTTTTTTACTGGTTTATTGGAAAACAGATTAGGGTCGACAAACATGGCTTTTAATGCTGGTTAATTTCACAATATCTGGTTTTAGTCATATTTGTATCTGGCAGCCCACTGCGGTGATATATCACTAATTATTTTTTTTTACCACTGTGCTAATGAAATTTGTTAGTATTATGATCTATAGCATTCAGTTCTAATAATTTGATTATTATTTAAAAGACATCAACCAATACAATGATATAGCATTTCATTCTGTAACATTTATATCTATTTAATTATACAAGTAATATTGTATAGTAAACATTCCTAGTGACAATCAACACGCCTGACTTTATAATTCTTCGTAATAAATATATTCATTCCCGGTAACCGTAGCATGATGTTTATGATAGATTTGTCGATGGCTGGATGAATTATTTCAATGGTTATATTGTTGAAGGTATATTGGGTGTGCTGGTTCTGACTTCATAACGGTATATTATACGGTACTTTAGCGATAGGAACAAAATAAATCCTTTATACTAACAAATGCAGTGTTGACTTGTTTTCATTGAGGATGTACATGGATAATTGTAAAATATTCACATCACATACGATTTCCATTTAAAAAGTGTAAGATTTACATTTTCTCTTTAAATTTTAAGTGATTTTTTTTTATTATTTAATTTAATGCTATACATAAGTACTAGTTACTTTCACTTTAAATTATGAAAATACGTCTAGATCTATAGATATATTTGTTGTTCAATTATAAGCAGATCTTTCAGACCCTTATGAATGATGCTTTGTTGGTTAATGAAAACAGTTAAAAGGAATGTCAACGAAACTCATGTCAGACCATGTTTGATGATCTTACAGTGCTCTCTTGTGTTTAAAAAATTCCTGCTTAAGATATTGTGATATTACCTAGTGTTTCTGTTTTAAATGCAGTCATATTTAAAAGTAGTTTTGTTAAGTTAGGGAATTATTCATGAAGTTTCATTAGTACTCTTTTTATTATGTGACTAGTGGGATAAATTATGAGCTGTTCGTGATAAACAATTGAGAATACTTTGAATGAGATGTTTACTATAAGGAGGTTATGAATTAGAAATCAATAAGATTTTACGATGAGTGGACTACCATCTTTAAGCTCCTACCATAGGAGTTATAGTATGTCCTCTTTATCTTCTATAAGGTTTGTAATATATCTTCTAAATTTTGTCAACATTTTATCTATATTGATACTTGTAAAGCCAGCAATGAAGTTCTCCCCTGAGATCATTATTTTAAATCTTAATTATCTTATGTAATTTTATTGATTTGTCACATGTATGGTTTTTTTTTCGGTTGATGTTATTTTTTGTCTCGCCTGCATAGTACATAGATGTTGCCTTTCCGGCGTTGACGTGTTAATTGTGAAGTTTTCTGCTTAAGTCAGTTTGATAGGAACTACTTGTAATAGTTCAATGATATTTTCTTTGAAGTTGCATTACTATCAGTTTGACTACTATTTTTAGGCCCTACCCCTTAGTTCATGGTCCTCGATATTCAATTAATAAGCAATTTTCAATATTAAGTTTTCTGCGTAAGTTAGCTTGATAGGAACTACTTGCAATAGATCAGTGATATTTTTTTGTACGTATCACTTTGACCACTATTTCAAGGCCCTGCCCCCTAAGTCATGGTCCACTGACTTTGAATTAATTAGTAATTTTCAATTTTTTAAGTTTTCTGCTTGCTTTAATCAGTTTGATAGGAACTACTTGTGATAAATCAATGATATTTCCTATAAAGTTGCATTACTATCAGCACATATCAGTTTGATGACTATTTTGAGGCCCTAAACCTTAACCATAGCTGATGGCCATTTAATTACAAGATTTCCAGACACTAGGGTTAACAGTGGTCTTTACAACTATCTCATTCCCTGAGTTTGTTCTATTTGAACACATGCATTGCAATGCTGTACGTTATAATGTGTACAACAGAAAAATTCTTGCTAATGTATAGGTTTTGAAATCAGTGATTTCATGCCATTCACAATTTTTTTGAAATAAGCAGCTTGTTGAATATATTTTTTATTTACATATTAGAACCAAAGAAGAATTAAAGAAAATGTGTCTATTTCACATAGACGTCAATCGAACAACAATTGCTCTGAAAGCCTTAGTTTTAATGAAGCAATTTAATGACTTTTGCATATTATTTACTTACAAAAGAAAACCAGATAAATCTAAATTATCAAAATATATTGTCATGTTTTCTTCATGTTATAAATGTCATATGTCACACTATGAAGCATGTTTTGTGTTAATTGATTAAAAGCTGAATTCTCCACACCTTGTATCAAGAAGGTAATTGTTCTCTGTGAATACATGTATATATAGGTAAAAAATCTCTGATAATTGATTCAACATATTGTTGTTCTTGCTCTGTTTCTGGGTTCAATTGACTTTCTGGATTTAACTTTGAATAAAGTAATGTGTGGCAAAAACATGAATGAGATTGCAACCATATGACACAAATGACCATATAAGGTCAATCAATATCAGCTGTGTGTCGGACAATAACTCAATCTATGTATTGTTTGTTTCAGATCTTCCACTTCCACAAGAAACAGCAGTAGACGGGACAGCTTAGATGACGAAAGACGAGAGATACAGAGGGAATCAGAAAGAATACAGAGAGAAATAGAAATGGAGAGAAGGGCACAATCATTCTCACCAAGACTGACTAAGTCTCCTACGAGAGGCATGCTTAGTATCACTGGGGAGCTACCCAAGGTATTTAAGATGACAAGTTCAATTTGAACACTTGGGCTCTGTTTTCTGCCATGTCAGCTGTTGTCATCACTTCTCCACTGACTTTCAAAAAGGCTTTTCCAAAGGTTATTTAACAATACAGATTTCCATAGTTAAATGGACAAAAAATATTATGATTTTAACAAAGACAACCATATATGGTTTAAGACTTGCGACACACACATAAACATATCTTGGTTTTTTTTTCATTGGTAAATTTAAATAAATGCAATGGAATTTTCTGTCACAAATCAATGTTTTACTAGGAATCTTTTATGATGCCATTGTATTTCTTTTTGTAGTTTTACATTAGACAAATATCCTCTTCAGGTAGTTAATATTATTTCTATTTTTAAAACTAAGTTCTTACAATCTTAATAAAAGTTATGTGGTTTATTTACAGTCTACTTCCTACAATGATTTATCTGGAAATGAGGGAAGAAATTCCCCTAGGCTTGACCACAGCAGTTCTAATCCATCACGAACTAGTTCATTATTAGAGAGGGCAAGAACTGGACTGTTCCAAGACAGATTTAGCCCCTCTAATGAAGCTTCCAGTCCAGAAAGCCTAGGAAGGTCAAGGTCAAGCTCATCACCTGAGAGACCAAATTCATCTGTGAACTTGACTAATCCTGAAAGGAACAGTTCATTACGGGATAAATTTTCAACTTCTACGCCTAATAGGGCGAGTTCTACATCAAATAGTCCCCTTCGTGACAAAATAAACACCAGAACTGGAATTGAATTGGACTGGTCCAGTCCTATGCATTCCAATCTCAGTAGTCCAAGATATACCTCAAGTCAAAATGATTTAAATAGTCCAAGAAACGGAGAGGATAAACTTGTAAGTGTTCTTATATAGTTACATAGATATTGTAGGTAAATATTAAAATGATATATATCTATTCAATCAATCAAGCTCATCTGTGTTGTAAGTATTTTGATTAGAGAATTTGCACTGAGAGCAGTTTATAATTCGTCATAAAATAGAAAGTTTATATACCGGTACATCATATTTCTCATTATTTCTGGCTATTCATGCTATTGTTTATGTTGTCCTATATTTGTTGGGTTCTTTTCTATTTGTCACAAAAGTTTATAGAAACACTGACTGATAAAGAGAGAATATAATAACTATTACATGTACCAATTCAATATAATCTAAATGGCGTTCATGTGAAACTATAATTTCTCTTTACAGTCTGTTTCGTTTCAAGACTTGCCAAATTCTCCCAACGTATCTCCATCTAAATACTCAGACACAAATAAGGTTAGTATTCTGTGGATATGTAGAGTTAATTGTAGCTACACATTACAGTCAAACCTGTATGTGAAGGTCACCCTAGGGCTACACATTACAGTCAAACCTATATAAAGGTCACCCTAGGGCTACACATTACAGTCAAACCTGTATATAAAGACACACTTGGGCTACACATTACAGTCAAACCTGTATATAAAGACACACTTGGGCTACACATTACAGTCAAACCTGTATATAAAGACACACTTGGGCTACACATTTTAGTCAAACGTTTATATTAATGTCACCCTTGGGGTACAAGTTACACTCTAACCTGTATATAAAGGTCACACTTGGTCAACACATTACACTTTAACCTGTATATAAAGGTCACACTTGGGAGACACATTACACTCTAACCTGTATATGAAGGTCACATTTGGGTTAGAAATAACTGACTTGTAAAATAGTTGAACTATGAATTGCGGTTCAAATTGTGTAAGTATTACTACAGCAGGACAAGAAGACAGTGACCTTTGTAGCAGGTTTTCACTTAAATAAGGTGACCTTTGTAGCAGGTTTTCACTTAATAAGGTGACCTTTGTAGCAGGTTTGAATGTACATTATTATGTAAAACAATATTCAAAAAGCTATATATGTGAAAAAAACATTGACTTTGTAGAAGGATAATTTTAATTGTTTAAATAATGTTCTATGCTTTGGCATTTTGATTGAGATTTCAGTAATTTTGTCTTTAAAGTACATGTTAGTTTATAAAGCATTGTGGATTTGTTATCATTCATGGAGCACTATTTTTTTGTGGATTTAGTTGGTTTAAGCACTGCACGAATTTAAGTGTTCAACAAAGTATAAATTTTTTACAAGCTTTTATCCAAACTTTGTCAAAATGAAATTTAATATCCATGAAAATACAATTTGTTCTCAATCCAAAAACAATTTGTATCAAGGAAAACAAATGAACTAACTGTATAAGGAATCAGTATAAAGCTGGGCTGCATTTTCGAAAAAGTCTTACGACTAAAATTGATTGTATTACTGTAAATTCAGAAATTATTGCGTGCATTTATTATTGCGATAATGTCATTTTAGACTTAAATGCGATTTTAATTTTTACGATTTTGAGAAAAATCCTGTTTAGTTCATATAAAATATTTCAAAATGCGAGTTTAAATTATTGCATTTACAACTCTGTCGCATTTGTCGCAATAATAAAAACCTCGCAATAATTTCTGAATTTACAGTATACAGAACTGCTCAAGACTTACAATCAAATATTTAGTCGTAAGATTTTTTGTGAAACAAGAGGTCTGGTTTGTGAGCCTATGGTCAAGTTGGATTGCAGAGTTCTAATGAAACAGTTATACAATAAATGACTGTATATTTAAAGTGATCTGTATTATTTGAAAATTTATGCCATTATGTATTTGGTCATGCTTTTTTATGATAAGGGACCTTGACATTTTCATGATAATTTATTTTTTATTTTTTAGGTTTTAATTTCAAATTATTTCATTTTTGAGATATTATTTTTTTGGTAATTATCTCTATTCATATTGTGGACCAATCATTGAATAGGCATCTAAATACTGTATCATTATTGCACAACACAGAAATCGAAAAAGAAAAAATTCAAATTTCAAGGTTTTTTTGTAATTTTTAATTTTATCTGAAAAAAGCTCCAAGTATTGAGATATATAGATATAGATATAAGTATCAATATTTAATTTTCTATAGAACTCAATGTCTAAAGCTAAAATGTTGAATATGCTACTTTTATATGCATATATTGTAATTATTGACTTGATCATCCTCATCTTTTATTACTCTGGTATAAATTACATGAATACCGACGAAAAGTTAATGATGGCATTGGCCTTCTCCTCTTACCATATGTATCTCTGTTTATATGATATCCAACACTGAAGGCACCAGGAGAGGCCATCAGAGATCATTAACATGTAAGAGTCAGACAGGACATGTTGGATAGAATACAGAGTAAATAACTACTAGTCAAAGGGGAGACAATTCCAAAACAGTAAAACAAAACAAATATACATAATATAACTATATCAATATACATCATCGATAGGAATGTAAAGTTGCACACCAACCACTGTATGCAAATTTCAAGTTTCTAAAAGTTCTTTAAACTTATTATTTTTTACTAGATGTAATATTTTTGCACATTCTAATTTAATTCCTTGTAGTCACCAACATACATAGATAACTTAGCATCAGAACCCAGAAGAACTACCACAAATTACAGATCTAACAGTCTCGATAGAGTAAGTGTAAAAATGTACACAAAAAGAACCAGATATAATTACCTCTATAAAAGTCTGACATAATAAAGGATTATATAACAGTTACGAAATTTTATGTGAATAATAGAAAATCTGAGGTATATGTCCTTGAAACAGCAACCAAATTGTACTAAATATAATAAAACATTTAAAAGCCAACATACAATCTTCAACAATAGACAGGAGTCTTTATAATAGATCCACCATCAGTACCATACCTGAATGTCACAGTGCTAAGGGTACTGTTTTTGTTAAACAACCCAGTAAAAAAGAATGCAGATGTACCAAGGGGCATTCAAAACTCGTAAGTCAAAGAGAAACCTACAACGTACTCCATGGCTAAAAACAAAAAAACAAAAAAAAACAAACATGTCCACAAAACATTACACAGAAAACTAAATAATGAGCCACAGGAAAACCTGGGATACACAGTTTGCACAGTTTTAATGAGGTTGCCTAAAAGTCCTGACATTTTTATATGCTTGTGAATTGTAAGAGATATAGGACAAAACATACCAAAGCTAAATTCCTTATCAATATGAAATTATATTTGATGTATCTGTCATGTAGGAGAGGCCATCTGAAGGACTGGTGAGTGCCATGAAAGGATCTAGATCTGAAGTAAAGGAGGCTGAGAAAAAGTTACAGTTAATAAAAGCACAGACTGATGAAGCCAAGTATGTTAACATTAGGGAATAAATATTCTAATGCAGACCTGCCAACTATCCCGATTTATGGGGGATATCCCCCATGAGAGGTGTTGACCTGAATTTTGAAATTCTTTATTATATAAACTGAACACCTCAAAACAGGCATTCAAATGAGAAGGAAGGGTATTTTAGCACATACATGCTCATTCAAACGATATAGTAGTAGATTAAAAACACTTATCACAATAAAAGAGGAGCATTATATCGTCTTGCGCTTAAAATCCCCCATGGAGATTTTGAAAAGTTGGCAGGTATGCTAATGGGGATATAAAATACTTAAAAAAAAAACAATGTTGACTGTTGACTATGATGATATATTTCATTGTTTTTTTTTACCATTCCTATTATTTTTGTGCACTTCCAAAAAGGTGTTTAGAAAAATAGTAGAAGCAGAGAGTACACCCTTACAGCATGATATACAAAGAAATACTGACTGAGGAAATATTTTCAATATTGACATTAATGAAAAAAAGAATGGTATAAAATAAGGAGATCTGATATATTTGCATATGAGACCACTATCCACTAAAAAGTAGAAAAAATATGTTCACCTATACATTTATAGAGAAAAAAATGTCATACTGCATTAAAATGTTCTGTGTACTGTAAATTGACTATTTGTTAAGGATATCTGCTCTATATTTCGGACTATACTGACACAGTACTCTTGAGCTGCTGTTAAAGTCCTTCTGACATTTACATATGTATGTGAATCATAAGAGATATAGGACAAATATCAAGGAGAGACCCTTCCAATGACATCAACTAAACTGAAAAAATAAATGTCAGCCATCTTATTGTAAACTTTTTATAGACTATTGTTGTATCGTTTTGTGAACACATAATTTTTTTCAGTTATTATCAGTAAAAGTACAATAATATTTGATATATAGAACTATTGCAGCACATACATGTCAGTCAGATGGGGTTCACCTGACCTTGACCACATTTAATTGTTCAATAACCAAAGTTACATTTTCTCGCTTAGTTTAAAAATATGGAGATGTAATATGATTGCCAATGAGACAACTACCCTTAAAGACAATAAAACAAAGACGTGAACAATTACTGGTCACTGTACAGCCTTCAAGGTCAGATTCTCTAATATTAGAAGTATTTGATAAACTAATTTTAGAGTTTAGAATGATTTACATGTTTTCCTAACAGTGTTCACCTGACCTCAATCTCACTTTCATTGATCTTTGATAATCTTAAGTTTTTTATGCCCCCACCGTCACTGGAGGGGGCATTAAGTGTTATCCTTGTCCATACATACTTCAATCCGTCCATCTGGTTACGTACGTACATCTCGAAACTGGTTTCCGTTATCCAACTTTAGTTTGCCTCAACCAAATGTTATGAAACTTATACACAATGCTTATTACCACAAATCACAGATCAAGTTCGAATTGTGGTTGCGTCACTTTTACCATTGTCGAGTTGTGCCCATTTATGCAAGTGGGGGCATCATCTGTGACCTGTGGACACATTCTCCATTTATTTTATAAAATGATGTGTCAAATTTAAATTCTCTATTAAACAGAACCCAGTTGATGTTGACAGAACTAAAGAGAGAGAATATAGTGAAGGATGTTGAGAGAATAGAAGAAGATTTATCTCGGAAGAAAAGACAAGTGAAGAATTACGAAGATCAGTTGAGATCTAGACTAGGAGATATTAGGGCATCTGATAGTTTCATTGATCCTGATGAAAAAGTAAGTGTTATATAGCCTTCTGAATGTGACATAGATTTGTGCTATTATGAATTGTATTAATCAATATTCTTGCATGAAGTAGATTAAATTTTGACTTTATCAAAAACTATTTACCAAACTAAAAATAATGAGGAAAAAGATAATATCCACACATCAGGGTACTTTATGGCATTTATCAATTCACTATTTAAGAATCTAAAGGGTTATGGGTAATTTCATTGCTTGTACCTTTAAATAAAAATGAAGTCTTGCCATTGTTTAGGATGTTTTTAGCCAATCATAACTTTTTGGGGAATGCTTTTTGTCGAGCCTGCGACTTTTGTTGCAAAAGCGAGACATAGCGATCCTACATTTCGTCGGCTGTGGCGGCGTCCACAAATATTCACTCTGTGGTTAAAGTTTTTGAAATTTTTATAACTTTCTTAAACTATCCTGGATTTCTACCAAACTTGGACAGAAGCTTATTTATGATCATAAGATAGTATCCAGAAGTAAATTTTGTAAAAAAAAAAAATCCTGTTGATCAGTATTTTACTTATAAATGGACTTTTTTTTTCTGCCAGTTAACATTACATTCATTATGTGGTTAAAGTTTTTAAAATTTTAATAACTTTCTTAAACTATCCTGGATTTGTACCAAACTTGGACAGAAGCTTGTTTATGATCAAAAGCTAGTATCTAGAAGGAAATTTTGTAAAAACTTATATTACTTATAAATGGACTTAGTTTTTCTTCCAGTTAACATTACATACAGTCTGCAGTTAAAGTTTTTAAAACATTTATTAGATTCATAAACTATCCTGGATTTTTACCAAACTTATTCAAAAATTATCTTCTTTATCTTTTGTTCATTCAATAAATTTATGTTTCAACTCTTTTATAAATCTATAGATGTAATTGCATACTGTATTTATTTTTTACAAGCATAACTTTTTTCATACATTTCAAAAGTTTTATTTCATTAACTGTAAATCTATTATGTGCATTCCCCTATCACACTGAAAACATAGACAACAGCAAAAGTAGGCGAGACACTGGGTTCCGCGGAACCCTTACAAATTTTTATAATATTACCCAGAATACAATTGATTCTGGAATGTCAAATTGACAAAGACTCGTGTCAAATGTAAGATATAATCTCTGTCTGATGTCATTCATCATGGATAAATACCCATGTCAAAGATCACTTATAAGCTATGTCTTGTATCAGAGCAAGTATTAAAGAACATTAGATTGTAGATACATGTATTTGCTGGAAAGAGACAAGATAATTGTTGAATTATTGTAATTTTTTTCAATCTTTCACACATTATTTTTTTTTTCTTTTCAAAAGGATAACAAGGTAACAGAATTATCATTAACGACAATTAACAAATTTAACACCATATAGTGTAAAGGAATTTAATAGAAGTGTTTATATGTATTTTAATCAAGGAAGTTCTCATACTTGTTGAAGGGAAAATAGTATCTCATGCACATTTCACATATATGCAGTTTGTGTTGTTCATTTTACAATAATACTAACACGAGTTACCTCCCTTTACAACATTTTGAAATTAGGTTAATTTAGTTGATATGTCATGAAGTCTTTGTTGCTGAATGTTTGAAAATTCTCCTCTGGAGTTATTGAGTTTAAATGACAGATTTTTCTTATTTCAATTTTTTAAGTTTAATTTTAACATGCTAAGGTTATATGTAAAACTTATAAAAACTTGTGCATTCACCCATCTGCTACAGCTTGACCTTCAAAGTACCAGTACTCTATTTATTTGTCATATCATCTAAAGATAGATAATTTTGAGCTTAAGAGGTTCAGGAATTATTACATTGAGTTGTTCGTTCTGTATTTCTTTCATTGCTTTTGAGAGGGAGTCATCAAAGTTTTGCACATGAACTTAAGGGAATCTGCCTACCCTTGTTTACATTCTCCAAGGGAGAAACAATCATGGGATCATATCTGCTTTCCAGTTTGAAAGAAACAATTTTGGGATTGTTGCTAAAGTTTGCTTTGGAGTGGAGCTTTATTACATTCAACATTACCACAATTACCTTTTGGAGGTTATGGCTCCTTGTATAGATTTATTTACACTTGTATGCAAATTTGTCCGCCATTACTTAAAATCACACAAAATTTGACATCACAATTTAAAAAATTTGACGTCATAATTAAAAAGTGATTGTTGCTTGACGTCAGAAGGTTATTTGGAGACAGATCTAAGGTCATTCTTAGACAAAATTCAGCTAAATACCAAAAGTGTAATTACGTTTATTGTCTCAAATTAAAAGTGAATACTATGTTTTAAAGATTGAGAAAAAAGAGTATTTCAGTTGGTTTTATTTTTATTTTCAAAAATCTGCATACAAAGTCTTTAGGATATTTTCATTCTGTTAAGCATTACAATTAGTAGTTTATACCAGTATCCATGAATAAATAAGGACTCCATAATAATTGTATTTGAATATGACTTCAGTATCTTCATTAAAGTTTTTATTTATGTTGTTGCTGCACTATGTTAGTTAAATTAAATCCTGAACACAATACACAACAATACACTGACTTTGTTTATCTTTTACAAATTTAACCATCTCATACCACCTTTAAATTAATCATTCTTTCCAACATCAAGTTTTGATGTTTTCATATTTCAGGCTTTAAAGATATTAATTTTGAAATCCAACACCTGTTTGAATAATATAATAAATATATTTTCCTTTGGAAATATGCAGCTTTAAGATATTTAAAGATTGTATAAATATATTTATACATCAGTAGGAAAGGTTTACACATACATTTTAAATACAGTCTTGAATGTGTTGTAACTTAATATTAAAATATGTCTTCAAGACTAAAGTAGATAAACAAAAAAATAATAGATAAGAAGCTTTTTTCAGTGAGTGCAACCATTTGGTCATTTAAGAATCCCGACATTTATTTCAGTTGACATCATTGGAAGAAGAGAATGCCAGTTTGAAAGTGAGGTTACGACACATGGATGGGTTAGAATTGGAGAGAGATGAATTAGTCAGACAGCTGGACTCTGCAAAGGAAGATTTATTTAATGAACAAAGACAGTCTAGAAATAAAATAGAGGAATTACAAGAAGTGAGTTATCTCCCCTCTTTTATATTTATGTTGAAGGTTTCATGAATTCCTCTATATATTTTATTTAAGAAATAATTCATGGCAGCCGTAGATTTGTTTTCATTTTACTATATGTGAGGCATTTATATTCGATTATTTTATTCCGAGCAATAGTGAGGGGTAAAATACAAATATAAATAACCAACCCATGGTTAAATGAAAACAAATCTACGACTGCCATGAATTATTTCGAATCAAATAGGACAAATATGGTAATTTTGTCAACCTTGAAAGTCCTATACACACGATACTGTTTTGGCTGTTCCAATCCCCCACCCTATATAATAATATATTATTCAATAATAAATTTCTAAAAAATCAAGTTTTTCACCTAAAGTCGTCTTGTTATGTAATTGTATTACATTCTGAGGCGTTCAAGAAGCCTGAAAACAGCTGATATTTACATTTGACGCCGGAAGCTTACACCGAAATAATAACTGAAATGGACTGATTTGTTTATGTTGCATTAGAATAGAGATCACCGTATTGTATATGAAGCTTGGTCTTCGTAAAACACGAGTTTTACTGTCACAAATTGAGTTAGCTGGATGTATAAATAAGGTGGGCGTAATGCGGAACAGCCAATTTTGTGTATTAATGAGTTTGGCCCAAAAGTAGATATACTGTGATTATACTGGTTGAGGACATGTAGGTTGTCATATTATAAATTACATTTACTGTTTCAATTTTATCCCTGGTTAATAATTATACATCAAAGAACATTTTTTGTTTGGTTGAGTGGGGGAGTGGAAGTTTATTTTTTTCTTTCGGCTGATCTTTATCGGGACTTTTTCTGAAAGGTTGAATGAAAAATTATTAATAGCCAAAAAACTTCTGAACACTAGTAACACAAGTAACTACTAATTATGTTATTTAGAATTTTGTGAATAGAAATAATGAAATAGCTTATCAAAGTAAGTTGTTGATGATGTATCTGTTTACATATACAGTATAATTGATTCGACATATGCATTTGAAACATTGTATTTTATTTAACAGGAATTAGAAAATTTAACAGCTCAGGTTGAGGAATATAAAGCAGAACCAGGCCATAGTCAGAGTAATACTACCTCGTTACAGTTCCAGAAATTAGAAGATAAAATACATAGACTGGAAAAAGAGAAAAAAGACTTGACACAGGTACTTGCTTACTTTAAGTCTATCCAATTTGATTTTGATTATATTCAAAATGGTTCACATATTCCTGAAACCTTGAAAAAATTACATTTGAAAATTTGGTACTGCACCCTATAGTTCAGGGAGAATTATTTCTAGAGTCAAAGAAAAAAATGGAGAATTGAAAATTCATGTAAAGTTATTTCCCTTGTCAAATAAAAATAGAAAGGGTTGACTTTAATTTTAATTAGAGTTGAATGACAGTGATTAATCCATATAATCAAATGTGTTACATATAGACTCCCTAGAAACATATTTCAATAATACATTTATATAAATTTTAAATGATTAATATGCATCATGAACAACAATGGCGCATAAAAAAATAAAATAACTGTATTTACAATTTACATTAATTAGTTGAATCTTTTAAAGGATAAGAATAAACTGGTAGAAGATTTGCGATTAATATCACGTTCACCAAGGCCAGATACAGGCAGACAACAACTATTAAACAGAGATGTCGAAGAACTACGTAATGAAGTTGCCACTCTACATAATAAAATCGGAGCAGGTCAGAGAGAAATTAATAACAAAGAAGATATTATTGGTCGATTAAAGTAAGTTATATTGTAATTTTTTTTGTGACCACAAAATCAAATGATTTTGTGCAAAGACAACCACTCAAATGAATGAACATTTTTTAGAGAAACTGTTTTCTGTGAAATCATTATTTTTGGTTGGATACTAATTTTCATGGATTTTATGTGTACAGGTGAACCACAAATTCAAATGTTCAAAAAATTACAAATTTTATATAGGCTTGTATGCAGACTTTGCTAAAACCACGAAATCAAATATCCCGGAAAATTTAAGTTTTTTCAATCAATGAAAATTGGTACCCAAGAAAATGGATCCACATTGTTTAGGTGTTGTGAAATTTGCCCATGAGTGTTTGAGATTTCATTGATATTTACATGTTGTAATAAAATGTGATGAATACCAAAAATGACAAATTATACACAGAAATGTGATCTGTTTTTCATACACTCTTTTGGAACTGATATTTAATAAAGGAATTCTTTGATTTGGGTGAAAAAAATGAAAGATAATTGGTTTGGTTTTTATATTAAAAAATTAATGTGCCATTATGTTGTTTTCCCCTAAATATATTGTGTATTCCTTTAACTTGTGTTCTTATTTGAACTCATAAAAGCTTGAACCTAATGAAATTGTGTTTAATATGTGATTTTAATCATTGCAGACAACAGAATCAAGATTTACAACAAATGTATAGTAAAGAGAAAGGACATAAAGATGGTGTAATGGAGGATCACAAACGATCATTACAAACTCTCAGGAAAGAAATGGTCAGTTAACTCACAAATTTATTTTGCTTTATACTTTTGACATGGCATTGTCAGTTTGTTTTTGACTTATGAGTTTCATTATACTTTTCTTCTCTTTTGAATTTATGATTTATAAGGATGATATGGTGAGTTGTTCATAAGAGCATCCAAATTAGTTTTTGAATTTAGACAGTCATTCAGGGTTGTGTAAATATTTGGCAGCCATTCTTATTTTAACTAATTGTTAAATCAGGTACTGTAAATCCAGAAAATGTTGCGATGTTATTATTTTTTGCAAAAACTGAGAAAGAGTATGTATTGCCAAGTAAAAATTTGCATTTTGAATTTTGTTGGCATTATTTGTATTCAGTATTTACTGAAATCGCAATTATAAACCCGCTTTTTGATCTATTCTTCAAAAATAACAAAAATACATGTAACGCAAATATTTTTGAATTTACAGTTATATAAAAGATCATGGAGGTACAAAAAAAAAACAATAAAATTTGGGATTTTTCACATGCTCAAAATGTTCGTTACAAAAATTTGTGTTTTACTGAATTATAGGAAGATTTCTTCAAGGTAAGTTTCTGCAAAAAGATTGTTGGAAGAGGTCTATAAAACTGTATAGCTTGAAATTGTAATCTGATTGTGTTTATTATATAGCTTTACGTATTAGAGCAAGCAAGGGGTTTGTGCACAAAACTATATTGATAAGTCATTGAAACTGTGAAACAAGTTTTAATTATTATTATATTTATTCCCATGAAAACCCCAGGTCATTGAAAATTTGTTCTCTAAATTTTGTCATTTATAAGAGACTGAAAAATGAAATGTGATCTTTTATGCAATACCAAGAGTTACTTTTTGTTATACAGTATAATAAGCAAAAAATTAGGTTTCAAAAACACTTCTTAAGATTATTTAGGGGAAGGGAGAGTTAACTGATGATAATACCCAATAAGAAAAATATTATTTGCTAAAGTATGTTTGTATCTTCAATTTTTTTTAAATGAAACATATTTTGGGGTCTGTTTGGGAAAAGTTTTCATTAAGGATCAAAAAATGAAAAGATAATAGCTGTCTTGATTTGTCAAATAACTCATGTTTAAATCATAAGGCAGAATATACCCTATATTGTTTTCATATTTAAATGTGATTTAGGCTTATAAACAAATTAGTCTGAGAATTAAAGCAAAAAGTATAGGTCTATAAATAAACTGTATTCTGTATGCCTCAATGAAATGTTCTTTAGAAATTTCACCAAATAAGAAAATGATGGCATGCCCTCAATATAATGTTTTAATTTTCACCTTATTCATTTACTTCTTCAGGATTCAGCCATGGTTCAAATGAGAGAGAATATGTTTTTAGAAAAACAGAAATCTTTAGAGGATTTGAGAAGCACCCTGGAGAAGGATAAGCGTGATGCACTTGCACGGGCTGAGGATAAATTTAATCATCATATCAAAAGTCAATCAAATTCAATTAAAGTAAGATGCACACAAATTCACCACAAATAGCTTATAACCTTTGATGTAAATGGATACATATCTCTATTTAAAGAGAAGATGCACTTTTGTAACTCAGATATATTTTTGGCTAAGACATTCATTACACTTTGCATTGATGGCTAACTCATGTATGAATTTTCTGTCTTTGAATGTCTTTTAAAACAATTGATATTCTACACATTCATGTATCCATTTGCATTAATCGATAGCATCAACTAGCATGTGACTAATGGTTAATTTTTAATTGTCTCCCTTTAAATATTGCCATAGATTGAAATTACCTCCCTTTATGCAGTGAAACTTGTCTAAACCAACCCTTTTGGACTTGAATTTATTTAGAATAGTTAAGTATTTGTTAAACGAGTTTTCTTTTAAAAAAGTTGCAGTGTGTTTCTGGATAAAAGAGTTCTGTTTAATCAGGCTTAAAATTAACACAGGATTTTACACATCTTTCTCTGTAAATTAGAAATACTGCAGTTTAATTGAGGTAAAATTATTCTGCATTTGCAGCTTAGTAATAAAAGCCTCCTAAATTATTTACAGAATTGAAATCCCAATCTTTTGTTGTGTAACCATAGGGATTACATAACAAGTTTATGAATAATTTACAAATTTAGGATTAATGAAACTTTATCAATTGAAATTTAATCAACAATATGTACAGGTTAGATGTATCAATATTTCCTGATGTTTTTAAGATTAGTTTACCAACCATGTTCATGTTATGTATGGTAAAGAATTTAGGAAATGAAAAATGGAATTTTAGATAAAATAGAATTTAAATTAAATATACAATTTTCCCAAATCCTCATATTAAAATTCTGTTTGTTAGACAGTGCAGTAATAAATGCATTCATTTATAGAATATTAATCAAGTTATTAATACATTGCTGGTTTTAAGGTTTCATAATTTGTGGTTATAAGGAGAACACATTTTGGCTCAACGAAATATGTATTTCGTTGTTTGTTACATTGGATGGTTCAAGGGGGAACCATGAAATCCAAGAAAATAGGGACCCAATGATCAATAATGAGTATCAGTACTTTGGACATCATAGAAGCTCCCTTTTAAGATAGGTATAGGGACAGAGAAAGATTTGACAATTAAAGGAAATTCCATCCTAGTTTCAGGTTTTATTATGCCCCCGCCGTAGTGGAGGGGGCATTAATTTTTACCCTTGTCCATCTGTACATCCCAAAATTGGTTTCCGTTCTCTAACTTTAGTTTGCCTCAACCAAACGTTATGAAACTTATACACTGTGCTTATTACCACCACAAAACACAGATCAAGTTTGAATTTTGGTGGTGTCACTTTTACCGTTCTAGAGTTATGCCCCTTTTCAAATTGAAAAATTGCTAAATTTTTCGTTTCTGTGCTCTAACTTTAGTTTGCCTCAACCAAATGTTATGAAACTTATACACCATGCTCATTACCACAAAACACAGATCCAGTTTGATTTTTGGTTGCGTCACTTTTACTGTTCTAGAGTTATCACTTAACTTTAGCATCCCAAACAGTCCTGATGGAGGTAATGAAAGAAAATGTATGTACTAAAATTGAAGGAAGGCATTTCATTCATTATATTAGATATCACAAAGACTGCATGTTGGCCTGTTGTTGTCAAAATGCTTGTCCATTGGGGGATAGCTGTCCTATTGGCTATCATACCACATCTTCTAATCTTTATTTAGAGTACATATTTTTTAAGGATGTCTCTGTGTATAGGTATCTGTTTCTGCATATGCTGTTATATATATATTATAGGATAAAGAAGGAGAATTATCCAGAATGATAGATTTAGTGAAGAAACTAGAGGAAGACCGAAGGGATGTTGAAACGAGAGTAAAAAGTGATTCACAAAAACAGGTATGATTGTACTGTTTTATTTTGTTACAACATTATCTACTATTTTTTAATCCAAACTTAACACCCCTGCTCTGAAGGAGTTGATTTACTGTTTTACCTCTGTCTGTCCATATGTACATCCATCTGTCACATGTGTCACAGTGACAGATTCATCGCTCAACAACTTCCTGTTTACCCAATACTTATATATTTTAAACACAATAGCCATGTACCTGGTATTTGAAATTTTCCACCCATTTTTCTAGGGAACTACAAATAATGGCTTCCTGAAATTTGTTATATGGCTTCATATCAGCATGTTACCCTGTGACACAGTTCCAGTTTCTTAGCTCATCAACTTCCTGTTTACCAAATACATATATACTATAGCAACAGACAGCATTTAAAGAGTTATCAGGTTTCATGAAAATATGCTTTACCATGTAATGGGTTTTCAGAATAACTTCTCTTCAACTTCCTGTTAAAAGAATATTTAGAGCTGGGGTATGAACATTAAACAATAGCTCACAGTTCTACTTGTCCTTTCTTCTTTTTTTGGGATTAAAATATTAAACAATCAGACCTAAAATTAAGTGATTTTGATTCTTTTTTAATAATAGAGAAATTTTCCTTAAAAATATATATTCTACAACATACTTTTTTCATAGAAATTTCTTATCAAGTTTATAACTGTTAGCATTCTTTGATGTAACTGTTTAGATATTGCATGTATTAAACTTTCAGATTGATGATTTCATCAAAAAGGAGAAACTAAAATTAGAAGCTGACTTTGAATGGCGATTACATAAAGAGAAGGAACAGTTCCAACAAGAATTTAAAGTAAATTTTAATGGATTATCTAAAGAATTGGAGGAGGCTACGAAGGTCAAGGCAACATTACTGGCACAGATTGAAAAACTTACTACTGTAAGTAATAGTCTTTTTCAATTATCAATAGAATTTACAAAATTTTGAAAGGCTTGAATAAGTTTACCAATTGCATGGGCCAAATACTATAAATATAGATTATTGGGTTTTCAGCAACTTGATATAGTTATATCAGCTGTGAGGCTCAGTAAAAATATTTTTTGGCAAATGATCGCAGTAAACGAGAAAAAAGCCTCACATTGTGTAGAGCGGCTGATATTTTACTATAACTATACACAGAAATCCTGACAATATGTTTATTATGCTATTTCTGGTCTTTTTTCTCCTCCCTTGGACATTTTTACATCGCGATGACCTTGAGGTCATCCCGATGTATTGCTATCGCCTAGATTTCCATTATGTAAATTAGTTTTGGGTTTGTAACCGATCTATAAACATGATAAATACGCGCACATAAACGAGTGCAAAATAACATTCCTTATCGTTTGATATAAATACATCTCTTCAATGAATACTGATAAAAATATTTTTGTTTACAACATAAATTAATAATATGAAAATGTTTTGTAGTTAGATATATATATATAAGTAAAAAATCATTGATAATATCAATGCACACGTACCGAAAAATTGTGTTAAAGCATGCGGAAGAATATCTCAAAGAACGTTTTGTGAAAATACCGTCAAGGACCGGTAACTCTGTAATTGATTTTGCGGGAAAATATGAATGCCTACTCGTATCCAATCTTAGAAAAATCGAATTTTTACAGAAAAGTGTCCACCATGCACTTGCATTGCACCATTTTTAGAATAGTAGAATAGAATGATATACAAATGGATTCAAATCATATATATATGTAACTGTTATTTTAATATAATGTAAACAACAACTCAGTGTATACTGATTTGTATCACTACAATATAATAGTTATTACGGTGAAGTTGAATTTCCTGTCATTTATTCATCATCCACGCACGAACTTGTCTCAGAAAAAAATATATCTCTGTACATTAACCTCAGTTTTAGGTAAAGAGATATGTTGTTTTTTTCTGAGACAAGTGCTTTTGACCATCCTCAAGAACTTGTGGTCATCCGATGTTCAGTACTTCAGTACTTTGATTACACTTGACAAAAGTAAGCTTGATAATTTTGTAGTAGCTGAAATCTTTTCCTCAGACATTGTGATGTCACTGATAAGCTCTGCTGACATCTCAAAGCCACAATAAAAGACTTACAGAGTAGGTGATATAGACAAATGGAAGTACGACAATGGCTCGAATGGGGTCAGATATTCTACAAAGTTTTTAAATTTCTACCAATGAAAAGCAGAAAATAAATATCACACTGCTGTTTGTTTATTGAAATATAAAAATCAAGTTGTTAAATGTTCAAGACATATCACTACATGAAAGCTACTTAATGTTTCAAATCTCTTCAATTTCGAAATAATTCAATAGGTTTCTTTTTTTTTAATGGTTCGTTAACATGAATAAGGTGAGAAAGATCTTTAGCTTTATTACCACATATAAACAAAATGAGTGTTATTTGTTTACCAATAGGTATACATAGAGAAAATTAATTGAAGAATAGTTGTTTAAAATAAGAAAGGTATGTTTTGGGGGAGGTGACATGTTTACCTGTTTACCTAGAAATAAAAATCCCGGCATTTGAAACAATGACCCACTTTGCTACTCTTAACTCAGAATATAAAGCAGAATTCAAACTCTTATCTTTGTTTATAATCTCATCTTCATATTATTGAAAAGTCTCCCATTGAACCTTTTCAGTTTTTCTTTTTTTTCTTTTTTTAGAAACCCATATGCAGAAATTTCAACTACGTCATTTGCAATAATATTTCTTTTTAATAGTGTATACTTTGCACATCATGTAGTTTTTCCTACTTTTCTTATACTTTTTGGTTTGCAACTAATAGAACTATGACATTTAATCAGAATCTATTAGTTTTAAGAATAGAAAGTCACAATTTCTTCTTTTCAGAAAATACAAAATTTTCTCCAATTTTTGTCTTTTTATGGCTAAAGCTAATTGTTGTGAAAAAACTGACTATTTATGGGAAAAAATTATTTGTTTACAAAATATGGAGTACCCAATCTATCTTACATGTACATGTATATTCTGTTTGGCAAAAAAATAGAATAAGGATCAGAATCCTTTGAAATCAACTATTAGAATTATCGAAACATGATTAATTCTACTGCAAAAAATAATACAACAAAGAAAATTTATGTCAAATTGGTTTAACATCACACCTCCATGTCAACAATTTTTCACTGCTAGATCCATACTTTGGAGGCTTGAACAGTTGATATCTATCAGGAGGTAATTAAGATCTTTTGGAAGTTAACATCATAGGGAGGTAATTGACATTTCTTGGAATTCAAAAGGTTAACATCTATAAAAGTGTGGACTCAAGTGGGATATACAGTACTATAGTTCTGGCTTTTATAATAAATTCATATGCTTGGGCAATAAAGATACTGCTTATATTAAAAAAATCTTAAAGATTTTTTAATGTCCATATATTTATGTCGACCTGTCCACTTGCCTACCCTTCAACCTGTTGATCTGTCAACCTGACCTGTGAACCTGTCAATCTATCTACATAAAAAATTGAACCTGCCAACCTGTGGACTTATGTTCATATAAACCGATTTACCCCTCTATTCTTCAGATGGAAGGTAACAATCCTGTATATCCTACTTGACCCAAAGGGGGATATTTAAGACTATCTCACTGGTATATATAGATTTGAACAGTTAGACATTGCATTCATAAAGTGATATCTTTATTCATATAAATAAAAGAAAATAAAAGATAAATATTGTGTGAGTGGATATTTGACTTTATAATAGGATGATATGGTCAATATTGTCTTGACTATTTAGTACATTGTGTCCTGTAGGAAACATTCAATAAATATAATCCATACTTACTTTAAAGATTTATTTTCCTGTTGAAACAATTATATAACAAGAGAAATGTGGGCAGAGGGGGGGGGGGGTGTTTGGCTGGAACATTACAGAAATAGTAAAACATAGTATTTGATGGGCTGGTGGAAAGAAGCAATAAGTGGTCAAATTAATTCTTTACATTTTATTAGGAAAACAAATATTTAACTTGATGTTTTAAGAACAACTTTTCAAAAAGACCATTGTTTATTTAAAGTGTTCAGAATAATTACAAGTGAAACCAATTACAATTGTCCTGTACATTGTAAGAGGTCATTTTCATTTTATTTCACCAAGAGCTGTTTTGAAAAATGTACAAGCGATTTCTCAGATGAAAAAAAAACCCTAATCTGTTTTGATTTAAAAAAAAATATTTGACTTTTGTTTTAATAGCTCTATATGAAATTCAGTTGCTAGAAAATTGGTAATCATGTTTGGCAACTAAGACAAATGCAGTATTTTTTTTTCTTAGGACCTCATACATGCTTTTAACCAAATTGTCTTAGATACTACTTTTCTATTGAAGAATTATTGGTTAACATAAGAGTTTCTTTGAGAGTAGAGTGGCAACATTACTGGTGCTTCATTTCAACAGTTAAAATTCCCAAAATAGCCAAAAATGACATTGTTGATTCAAACTAATTCAAGAATCTTATTGTGATGTGCACTAGAATGACTTTTTATGTAAAATTCCATAATTTCAGAGTTGACGGTATACTACAATTACTTAGTCTGTCTGTCACTCTCATTACATATTTCTCATATCCTGTTTTTATACACCTGTTTACGGGACTTATTATGGTATACCGTTGTCTGTCTGTCTGTATGTCTGTCTGTCAGTCTGTCAGTAGGTCGTCTATATTGTTTATATCTATTGACGTAAGCTCCCTTTCGATTTTTATAAATTTCAGATTTTACAATTTCGAGTAATTGGATTTTATTCTTAAAAAATGCATGATTTTTCCAGTTTTCTGACTATAACTCAAAAATGCTTTGAACAATTTTCATGAAACTTTCGTGAATTGTTTATATATATTTACATCAGTTCCCTTTCGATTTTAATTTTTTTTTATGATTTTACGTTTTGGAGTATTGGAACTTTATTCTAAAAAAAGGGGGGGGGGGGGGGTTCCAGTATTTCAGACAATAACTCAACAACACTTTTAGCAGTTATCATGAATCTTTGGTGACTTGTTTATATCTTTTGAAATAAGCTTCCTTTTGATTTTTATAAATTTCTGATATGACTTTGCAGAGTTGTGGAACTTTATTAATTGTCGAAACTGTCCAGTCATGCACTCTTTATTAGGAATGAGTTTATTTTTTTTTAAGTTGAAACTTTATAGTGTTAGTACTTCTTGAGTCTGCTGGGCAGTGCATATCCTGTTTGACAATACTTTAAAATTCATTATGCTAACTGATCAAGGATTTTTTTGTAAATGTCTTGGAACAAGTTGCGGTATACTGTACATGAAATTGCATGCAACTTCTTGTTTAGATAAAAAGTATTAAGTAATTTCTTGGAATTTCTATACCTACATATCTTCTTGCTCCATTTCCATTTTAATATTTATCTGTCTATTTGTTTTCATGAAAAATTAATCGCCTCAGTGGTCTCATGGTAGCGTGTTCACCTTGAATGCGGGAGGTCATGGGTTTCGAACCCTGGCCAGGTCAAACCAAAGACTTTAAAATTGGTATTTGCTGCTTCTCTGCTAAGCATGCAGCATTAAGGAGTAAGAACAAAGACTGGTTGACTCTGAGTCAGTATAATGTGTCCGGGTATGGTGACATGTCTGTGGACTGTCACCTTGTGAACTAGCATGTTAAAAATCCGGCTTTTGTTTGTCTAGTTCAAAGCAGGGTTAATATTCATATTACATTAACATGTTCTCGTCCTGAGTATGCATATTAATTTGCAGATGGACGTTAAGCAGCCATCAATCATCATTGTCATGATGAAAAATCATACATTCTCATTAATTTTCAAATAGTTTTGAATTAATGCTGTTTTTCGATCATAAGGCAAAAACTTTGACCATATTGATACATTATTTTTTATGATAAAT